TTAATATTAATATATTTTAATAATTTATTTATTAATATCAATTTTATATTAATATATTTCACAGTAAAATATGTATGAATACAAGATTGGTTTCTTGAATATATGTGGAAATAGGGATTGAGAGGTTTGTTAGTATAGAAACTTCACCAGGAATTCAAGTACATTACAAACTATCTCTATGATTTATCATCTGAAACAAGTATCTATTATGTGAAAATCACTGTTATTCCAGAAAGAATTACTTTCAGCTGTTTCTAGTACTTCCAAGAATTATATACATGAAAATAATGACTAAAGGTATATCTAGGAGTCTGGAACTAGATCTGATCGTAAAAACCAACAGTGCTAGATGTGAGTGTCTATTATCACCACAAACAGTGACCAAAAAAAAAAAAAAGCTCAAGAATTCTTACTGTTGATCGGCAGAGCTGCTTTTAGACATGACTTTGAGTTGAGAATGACACCAAGTATTCACTGACATTTCCTCTCCAAACATTGTTGTGATAATTAGAGATGATGAGTTACTCACAATATTTAATTCATAATTGCTTTAAAATATATCATCTTTTGGTTTTGATGAAATTGTGGAAAAGTCTTATCTGTCTTTATACTTTTGCATACCATGTTTTAAAAGTGAGTTTTACTTACATATGCAATTGTTCTTTTGTTCATGTACCAGATTCATAATGGTGAATACATTTGATATTGTATCAATATCAAAACATATCTCACCTCTATGCAAATACATGACATGATGAATATAGCTGAGTCTAAAGAGAGATGTGCTCCACAAAGAACATTTATAAATTGGGTATATACTCATCCCTTAGTATGTTGTGCTTTCCTAATATTTTTGGCAGTAGCTAATAGTCTATTAATGATCATACTTTTTATTGAATCATCAACATGCTCTCGTGGCTATTACTGAAAAATTTCTTTTAAAGTTTTCAAAATGTCTATACTGTCACTTGATTACTACTATATATTAAGAGTAGATTAAATGGACATCTGCATATTTTACATTTGTACTTAAAATAAGCTAAAATCACACTATTTTAAGTGCAAATATTACTGTTACTACTACTACAACCAGTCACAGTATTACTATTAATAATATTACCACGGATTCATTAACCACTGAACAATGACATTATTTATTATTACTGTCTTCATTTTTAATAGGCTAAGAAACAAAGGTACCAAGAAATTAAATAATTTAAAGTTACACAGATAGTAAGTAACAAATCTTAGAGTCAAACATACTAGTCTAATTTTAGAATCCAGGACTGTTAATAACACTACTGCCAGCCTACTTATGAAAGCACCCTTGTCTCTAGTAGATAAATAGCATTACATTTTCTTTTACAATAAATACATGGAAAAAAAATAAATACATGGACTTGCTACTATATTTGTTCAGATTTAACTTTCTTGAATCCAGCTTAGCTTTGATATTTGCAGACATGGGTTAACTTTCACCTTACTGCAAGCTATAAGACAACCTGGTATTTAGTTTACCTACAAAAGGCATTAGGGCTCTCTAGAGAACCTAATTAAAATGCAGCACATTTCCAAGACACCATGTCTTGCTGTGTTTCCATAGAAACAATGGGAATTTCTGGTCACTGACCTTTGAGGAAATATGAGGATAAATTTTCATAAGGTTCATAAAAGGAGTTCTGGAAATTCTCTATGCAAACTGTCTGATGTTAAAGGTATACTGGCAAAACTTACTGGAGGTGTACAATGGGATGCTTTCTGAAAGGAATTTTTCAAACTGCTTCCCATATGACATCTGAGTTATTGAATTTAAAACAATCAGATATACTGTTGTAGCAGTAAAGAAACATTCAAAGAAATCTTAGAAAAATATACAAGAGATATTGGAACTAAAATAGTATTTAGTTTTAATGTTACATCTATTGTGTTTGGATTCTTCAAATCTAGGCTGACTGGAAGAATAACATATAATATTACCAAATACAAATATAAACCTGTAAAATAAAAGCTTGTTATAAAAATGCAAAGGAATTAATATTACTTCAAAATATAAATTCTCAATTTATGCTTTTACCAGTTTAATTCATTTACAAATTCACTTGCTAAATTACTAAATATATATAAATATCTTAGTTACACTATAGCTATACTTTTTGGAGGGGAGGGTATTTGAATTATATAAGTCAAGTAACTATTATTCATCAGAGAACATAAAATCTTTACTGTAGACTGCTGTTATTATACTAGCATTTTTGCTTTCAAAAAATAACTTAATCATCAGGATATGCATCATTTAGTTATAAGGAATTATCAGGAGAAATTTTACTCATTTTCCCTAGAATTAGAGATACTTATCTCTTTAAATCACTATTCTCAGCATAGACACCTGATGAAAACTAGAAATAAACTAATAATTATATGTAGAAAAGTGAGGTTACTACCCCATTCCCTAGATTCTGGGTAGGCCTCTTACACAGCTGGATGCCCTTTCTCTGAGAGAGTGTGGCCAAGGGCTGAAGACCAGAAAGCTTCCAGATTGATATTGATAAAGAATCCCTGGCTCTGCCACTCACTAGCTGTGTGTTTGGGAGAAATCTATTGGCACAGGAGTGCCTCAGTTTGCTCATTTGTAAGGTGAGGACAATCATAGAACTTGAGGGATGTTCTGAGAATTAAATGAGTAATATATAAATAACATATCCAAATCTGAAATAGAGTAGTCAGCAATGATCTCCAGTTCCAAGCAGAAATGCAGTGCAAAGACGGACCTGCAGTACAGGTGTACTCTCCTAAAATAGAGAAAGAGGAAACGGGATAAGCACCCTCCGGATAAAAGCAGGATGTCATCTGCATGGGGACAGAGGAGTTTGTCACATTTTCAGTTAGATGTTTTTCCTTTTTAGTTTGGATACAGACTGCCCTGTCTCTGAGAAATAATGGCTATCTTGTAGGTGTGGGGAGTTTGTGTGTGTCGTCGAGTAGTTATCTACTGGAGAAGTCAGAGTATGAGGAAAGATATTTGTATCGCATCTTTGTGGGGAACTTTTGAAAAAGGTCCAAGTGTACAATCAGACAACCATCAGATTGCTGAGCTGACCTGGTCTGCCTGTGAAACATGTGCCTGTGTGCACATGAAGCATGTGAGACTGAATAACTGAGATGTGGGTGAATAATGTCTGCAAAATAGAGCGAGAACCTGACTAATGCTCAGGTGCTTGTCAGGGGAGTTGTGGGAGTCAGACTAGATGTGTGACAACCAGCCTTGTGTCGTATGCACAGGTTTGTAAGTGCTTGGCCACGCTCAGCAGTAATAAAGATTATCACCCTGAGGCAGTTTCTATACTCATATCAATATGAAAAAATGTGTACAAAGAAAATTTCAATTTCCATACACTTCTTTTCACTAGGAACATCAACATACCTAAATCAAACATGGAACATTTCTCTTCAGTTTAAAACCACACAGGCAACTTACCACCTTTAGTAGTCTTTCCAACTAGAAAAAAAGGAAGTTTCTATGGTGACCAAGCTTACATTTATTCCTCCTTCTTCCTTCCTTGTCAAGGCCCAATATACATTCAATTACTCATAATTACATAAAAGCTGCCTAGCACTTCTAGAATATTTCTTAAAACTATACTACTGGTGCTTTTTAAAATGCCATTTCCTCCTGAATTATTAACTTTCTATTAATTTATATAAGGGTTTTCAGAGTCGAGCTCACTATTAGCACCCACAAAGTGTTCATGAATCTCCCCTAAATAGAAAAACCTTTCCTAAAGAGACATCCTAGAATTCATAGATCTAGCATATTTTAATGACATTCATAAGGATGATTCTCTGGTTACTCCCAGAGATATTTAAAGGTATTTCCTGGGGAGAAGTGATATCTGATTTTTATTTTGAAAAGGAAATGCTGAAGTAAACAAAGTTTACCAGATTCCTTCATAATCTTTGATGTGCTCATGGGTCTTATGAATATTTAAAAGGGATCTAGTCAAGCTCATTTCTTACCTTTCTTCTCTGGGGCACACTTTTGCAGAACAGCCTTCCAAGGTAGCACTCAGGACCTGGACACACAAAGGTCCTTGGAGTATCTCAAGAAGAACTCATGAAGCACCAGAATGAAGCCAGTGACGTTTACTAGGGAAAGCCCTGACAGACATGTTCAGGAGCAGTGTGCTGCCTCAGAAAGCAGGGTAGCAACCCTGAGTCATAAAGCAGTAGGGGTTTTTGGTTTTTCATTTATTGGTGAGGAAGGGTTCCTCTTAATTATGCATACCTTGCTTTCATCATTCCTCCCAATCTCCCAATTAGGGACTAAGTGAAAGTACCCTTCCCTCCTCATTTTTGAGTGTGTGTGGGTGGGTGGGAACTGTATTTAAAATGATTCCTCTCAAGCATTCCAGACTTGATCTTATCCTTGAAAGAGAGAGTGCCACACTTGGAGTGTGGGATGGCTGAAATACAGCTGTGCTCCTTTGCGAGTACGAGGTGGGAGACCAGTGCCAGGCACAATAGCATATGCTTTGTGCAGGGTTGCTTCACGCAATTCCAGAGTATGGGACTCATAGTCCATCTGATTCTGTTTTAAGTTCTCAAGTTCTAATTTTCCCACTGGTTGTTACGAACTTTAAGTTTACTGCATCAGTTCTTTTTTAAAAAAATATTTAGTTATGCATTCAAGAACAGGGGTACAGGACAGAGGTGTGGGGGCGAGAGGATTCACCAGAGACAGAGTAGAGAGCAGAACAGTCAGATCTACTGAAATACACTGCTGAGGGGAACAGTGGGCGAGACAGGAGAGGTCTGCTGTGCCAAGTGGGTCACTTCCCCGGCTGGGGGTCTAACTGGTTGGTGCTGCAGTGGCTGTGGATAACTTCTAGTGCTGAGCTTTCACACCTTGCACCACCAGAGAAGTCCCATCATTGTGGCAATTCTTATTTCATGTAGTTTATAAGCATAATTTTATTATTAAAGTGAGAGGGGATAACAAAGTATCTTTGTAATGAGAACATTTTATTTTTCACCATTTATATATAAGCACACTTTAGTAAAACACATCACAAGAGTAAGATTTCATAGTTAATATTTATAGGTGCATAGTTTCATGCTCACATGGTCTTAAATATTATTGTATATATTAACACATTTCACAATACTTATTCTTAGACAGAAAGACTCATTAAAGGACACCTAAAAATCTGATATGATAATAAATCACGACTTCTCAGTAGCAACAAAAATATAGTGAAGATTTAGAAATAAGTGGTAGTCACTTAGGTGTTTTTAACTTTTTTTTTTTTTTGACATTTTATATTTGATGCCACAATAGCCACAGCACACAAAGGGTCCTGCTACCATATTCACTTCAGTGAGAGGGAAGCACCGAAATGCTGAGTGGGGGCAGGTACAGATTCTCCGATCACTGCTGATGGAAGACTTCAAAATACACCATAAAAACTTCGAGATAATGTCATGACTGGGCACATTGGAACTGAGGACTTGTACAGGATGGAACATCTGTCAGCAGATCTCAGGAAATTGAGAGCAAAGATATTTCTTAGGCCTCAGGTTCATAGTCTTGATATCCTTCCTGATATTAGGAAAGTAAAAGAGACAACACGCAGAGTTAGTGGACATGACCAGTAGGAAGGGCTTTATTGCAAATGACACAGGCTGAATAAGCATCCTCATAGCTGTTCTGGAACTCTTCTGCTACTCTGAGGTTTTATTTTTGTAAAGATTTTTTTT